CTTGTTGGGAGAAAAGTTAACCTCCATCCTCGATCATCAACGGGGACGGGCTTCTCATCAAGGACCCATATCTCTAATTTTTTAATAAATTTGTTGAAAAAATACTTAAAATAAAGTATAATTTTGAAATATAAATAATATTTTAAATATATTTTGATATTTTGTATAATATAAATCATCATCATCCATGCCTTGCCCCAACTATATGGGATTGGCTACATGAATCCTGTTGCCAATCTATTTCGTCAATTCCCCGTCCTTGCCAAGACAATCTCCATCCCTAATCCGATCAAGTCAAGGAGGCAAAATACTTAATATGAACGAGGAAATTACCATCGTAAGGACTAGGACGGAAATGAGGGTGACAAAGGAGAATCAGAACCCTCACCCATCAACTTGAAAATCCCCACACCCCCATTTATATCCACCTTATATTTTATCTCTTATTTATGTTTATACATATTTATTAACTTTTGCCCCTCCCACCTGGTGCCTTGTCAATGGGTCGGGATATGGTTAGACCTGGCAAAAAGTTGACCCAACCCGTGAACCCGATCCGAAAACTGGACTGGGTTGGGTCATGGGTCAACCCACTGACCCGATTGTCAAGTCTAATTGGGATTATTTATGCATTGTTAGAAGTTTTCACTCTTTAATTTTTTCTATTTAGTCTTTACTTTTTATTGTTTACTCTTTAAATTGTTAAATGTTAAAGTTTTTATTTTATATTTGAAGTTTTAAGGTTAATTCTTTTAATTTTTACATTTTTTATGTAAATTTTCTTTATGTTTTTAAAATTCAATTATTTTTTGGGATGACCCGAATTGACCTATGGGCCAACGCTAACCCGAACATTTAGGATTAGGACCTAGCATTTGACAATCCAACCTGAAACCCAACCTAACCCGAAATCAACACGAAATACCTTGACCCAACCCGAACCCGACCCACCCTGCCCGATTGCCAGGTCTAGATATGGTGTATCAGTCCCAAATCGATTTTTAATCAACATAAAATCATGGACCAATCTTTTAAATGTATCAGTGTCATTAAATTCTGATGTGTTGGTGTCGTGTAGGATAGAGCTGTCAATGAGTCCGCTTTGGGTCAAGAGAGGGTGTCTCAGTCCTGAATTATTAATCATGAAAAAATATGGGTCCAAAACCACCTGATTATTACTTGCTATGACATCTATATTTATTTATTTAAATAATAAGTTAAAAGTTGATTTTTGATAATAAAAATGATAATAACTAGAAAATTAATAAATTAAGCCTTTAACCAATATTATCTATGAAATTTCAAACCTAAAATACAATAAAAATTGTGAGAAAACAAGTAAACCCTTATATATATTTAATAAAATAATTGGTTCATTCTGAATCAGTTTAGAATATGGAAGAACCAAAACTGATCCAATTATTATTAATCGGGAAAATTATCTATATGTTAATAAATCAAGTCTTTTAAGACTTTAACCAATATTATCTATGAAATTTATCATTTCTGACATAAATACAATAAAAATTGTGAGAAAACTAGGAAATTCTTATATATATTTAATAAAATAATTGGCTCATTCTGAAACAGTTCAGAATAAGGAAGAATCAAAACCGATCCAAATATTAATTGGGAAAAAATATCATGGAATCAAATCTAGCACAATCAGTTTGGTCAATCAGACATAACTGATCCATTGACAGCCCTAGTGCAAGGGTAATCAGGGCGGCTTAGGATGGATTTAAGCTCAACCCTAGCCCGATCCTTAGTATTGGGACGAAGGCCCGAGCCCAGGTTGATTCCGAGGTAAAGCCCGATTTTTTCAACCCAGGCCCAATCCTGTAATAAAATTTGATGCATTAGGATTGGGATTAGGCCAGGACCAAGGTTAGATTGACCTAACCAAGGTTTTATATATATATATATGTGGGTCAGTTGGTCTAACATGAAAAAAAACACACAAAACTAATATATGAATTCAGCCTAATGACAAAAAATTCAAGCCTAATTTGTGTAAAAATTACATGCTACGTAGATTTGGGATTAAAAACAAACTTTTAATTAAAAAAGATCAGGGATTCAGGTGTCCGATGGAGAACCCATCTTAGTCGAAGATCAGGGATGTAGGCTATGGGGATCAAGGTCAAAGATGGGGGCTAATTTAAAACTTGGGGTTGAAAATTTGGGAGGGGGAGTATTGTCTCGGCCCCAAACCCGCCTATTTCCATTCCTACCGGAGGATCATTCCCGAAACCCATAAACACAGTTCCAATAATTGTGGTAATTATAAATATAATATCCAACACTTATGAAAATTATTGTTGATGAATGAAATTAGTCTAATGGCTTATAAAAAAATTGGGAAAATCTATGATACGGGAAAGATATGATATGAAAAGAGTTTTGATCAATCAAAACCGACCCATAAATTTTGATAAATGACACCTGATTTGCTACCACGTTTATGATTCCAATTTATTGGTCAGTTATTTTTCTGATATCATATCTTTTCCATATCATAATCAAACCCAAAAAAATTAAATAAATTTATAAACTAATAAAGACAAACTTTTGCAACCTTGCGGACCGAACCGTGGCTCTAGAAATCTTCGTAGACTTGTATTGTAAATTTGTAATCGTACTGTTTGGTACTACCACTACAATTGGTTGACGGTTCAACAAATTGACCAATTCCGCCCCCATTAATTTCCATTTTTGTCCCCAATTTGCAGTGACGTTAACGTACTCTCAAGTCTCAACCACCCGGTGGCCGATGGCCATGGGTAGACCGATAGACTATAGAGCTTCAAGCAGACCCAAATCCCAACTAATATCTAATTCATTGACTTGAAGATGAAAGACTAGGTCATGGGCTTAAGGATCCATAAAACGTTTTGGACCAGTAAAGGCTCAGGACCCATGAGCCGGATCCCATCTTGGATTAGTTACACAAATATTAGTTCAACTCCTCAAATATGCGTCAACTGATTGATTATCTATGCTGCATTGGAAAGTTGGCTTGTGTTGAGGGCACAGCAAGGCAAAAAAAAAAAAAAAAACTGCACCACTTTTAAACTAGAAATAGAATGCATTAGAGACAATTCAGGAGTCGGGATTAAAATTAGGGTCTAGCATTTGGGCTAGCCCAGTCTGAACCTCACTGGTTGGGGTGGAATTCTTGGGGCTGTAGGTTGGGCCTGAGCCAACCATTTGGAAGGATTCAAGATTTGGTTGAGTTGCATGCATGCTTTGAAGAAACCATTAGAAGAAGCTTCAAAAAAAGTCATGGTGGTTGAAGATAGTCAGTTTGGATTGTTTGCATTTTTTCACCAAACATTGCTAATCGACACTCTGGATGAACCCCACTTTGCTAAGCTAAAAGCAGAAAACATGAAAGCCCTCTCAAATTGACATTTGAAGCTGGGGTTGTACTACTACTTAGGCTTTATGGATGGGCCATGGTTTTGAAAACTGGATCAGGCCGGATGGCCGGACCGGTTGATTCAAGAATAGGTCAAGTAATTGGTTCTATTTTATCCTAAAACAGCCTTTTGGCAAAAAATCATTGATTTAGTTGACTTATCGATCCAAACAATGGTTTTGGCCATTTTTATTTTATTTATTTTTTAAGTCAGAACGGATCATCCGTTCAACCTAAGAACTGGTCCCTAGAATGGTTCTATGTCCAGTTCGATTTTTAAAATCTTGGGATGGGCAGCCCTTGGCCTTGTCTGTTTTACAACTAAGGCTTCTAAGCCCACCCTACACTACACGCCCAAGTTGCATTTTCATCTGAGCCATGCCCATGTTTGATTTTAAGACAAAAAAAAGGAAACAAAAGTAGTCATTTGTGGTTGATCCAGCACATAATCAAATGGGAACTCTCTTTTTGTTACTCATGTTACCCAATCTACCATGATTGCTAGTAATAACGAAATTATATATATATATATATATATATATATAATTTTTTCAACTTTTTAATCAATAAATAATTAGAAGGTAGGATTAAAAGGGAGAAACGTAAAAAATGATATGAATTAAAATAGTAAGAAATGGTTTAGGAGTTCGTGACTTAATAATAATGAATATGGCACTAAAGATATATGAATAGCAAAACATGATTCTATAGTCAAATCCATATAGTTGGAATAAGGGTTTAGATGAAGATGGTAGATTGATTACTATATTCTTAAGTTTATTATTTAAATAAATAACTTATCCACTAAAAGGCAATGCAATGATTTATTAAGTTCAGTTGCTTCAGCCATTATCAAACAGTTCCTCAGGCTTTGCTTTGTTTAAATTCGATATAAAATTTTATAACTGTAAATCAATTAAATAATGTAGTATTCACATCGATAATGGATGTAAAACTTTATGCTTGATGAAGTTTTACATTGATTTATGATGTGAAATTCTACTTCATTCAAGTGCCAATAAATCTAAAACAGATTGAAATTTTACATCAATCTTCATTTACACTTATTCCAAACACTAACAAAACCGAATTAATGTAAACTTTTAGTCATTCTTGATTTACATCAATTCCAAAAGCAGCCTCAATTTCATACAATCCCTTCACATAAATGCTAGTACATTACTAGCAGATAGATCGTAGCTCAAACCCTGCATTACAGTACATTATTGCTCGGAATAAATTAAAAAAAAAGGAAATAGCGTGCCTAAATTACAACAAGTTAAACAAAAATCATGGAACGATGTGGGGTCTTTTTTAATACCAGCCAGGGAATCCATCTCAAATTTGAGATCGAGGTGCTCCTATCTCTCACAGTCTACTGTGGATGTGGATAGTACAATTTAAGCAGTAGCAGTTGTAGAAGATTGCACTCCCACTAACTCTCATCAGTACAATAGTACAAAGCTACCATTTACAACCAATCCGATAGTACAACAATACAACTTGAACGGTACTAATTAGTAACTACAAGTGCGCTCTCTCTCTCTCTCTCTCTCTCTCTCTCTCAAACAATATAAAGGGAGGAGAATTTGCCTTGCTTGTTGCACTTCTGATCTTCTATTCACCCATAAACCCTCGATTTACCTTGATTTAGAGCATTGTTTGAGCTATACATTCACCATTGTTGCTCGACTAATGCATTTCCCTAGGAGCATTGAACCTACTTGATAGTTAGAGGTTGAAGAAGAGCCCGTATCTTATCCATCTGAGCATTTTCTGCTTCAAATGAAGACTAGGTAAGCTTGGATTCATCTCCCCTTTTATGTTTAATGAGCTTCTGGGTTCCGTTATCACAGAATCCCATTTGATTTTTGAATTTCTGAGGGTAAGATCTATTATTGGGGGAAAATAATCAAATGGGGTCTCTGTAAATAAGGAAGCAGTTTGATTTAGTTAATCGTTCAACCCGTAAGAATCCAGATCTGACAATATCATCACAAACTACAACCCACAGCTTAATTCGATTTTAGCCTGGAATGGGTTGAACTTGGGTTAAGCACCTTGGTCTTTGGATCAAATGGCTGGGCTCCAGCAATTAAACAGAACCAGATGTGATTTTCAAATGGGGGCTGTTCCTTAGTCACCTTTTAGACCAGACTGTACATTCATGCTGTTTCATTACATCATAAATGAATTTGTGTTTTATTTATTACTCAACCAAACAAAGCCTTTTCCCAAGTATATGGGCTCGGCTACATGAATCTTGTTCGATTATTAGGATCTGTTCAGTACTATATATATTTGTATATTCGTATACACATTATTAGGTGCGAATATTCACAAGGCATATGGTACATTAACGCTACAAATTTTCAAAATTAAGAAGAGTGTACGACAATTTTTTTTTTATCTTAATATTATATGAATAGGTTACTACAGAAAAACCCTTATGAGTGTGACACTTAGATCCCTATATTATTTTTTATGACATTTAGCCCCCTTTCTACCTAATTGACCATACATCATTTTTATTTTTATGCTTTTAAAAAACACAAATATAGATTGAGTGATGTCTAATGTTGGTTATTGTTGGGGATAATATATTCTCAGGTGTTTAAGGTCCATTGATTTATCATGGATACCATTGAAAAACTACTAGATCTTTGGTTATACTAGTACATCGATTTCTATATTAACATTTTGATGCTCTTGATTTTTGGATTGATTTGGTACATCAATTGAACAGCTTAGATTGATTGAAATCTTGGTGTCACTTGGACGGTTGAGATTGATTCATTTATCATATGAAGACTACTTTCATTCAATGTTTTAAAAATTGACATAGAGGTTAAACCGTTTTGCTTTTTGGTTATGAGTCATTGGTTCAATCATTTGGGTCGGAATGGGTCAGACCATACCACATCAGTATGTGTGCATAAACATGTATTTTGTCAATAAATAATGTATAATTATATTTTAGATAAAATATATATTATTTTAAATTTTATTTTATTTTTTATTTATAAAAATATTGAAAATTCCAATTAATGTCAAAAAAGGTTTTTTTTTTTCACAAAAATAGTGGGGCAAGGCACCTATTGCACCTTAAGACACATAGATCTTGAATAGTTACCAAAAAAAAAGCTTACCTCAATCACACATCTGAGCACAAAGTTATGGTTTCCCGAAGTTTACATTCACATTTAGTATGCAACCTGTGACCTAGTCATTGGATTGAATGGGTCAACAGCCCAACCAATTAGGTGAAATGGTTTTTGACAATTTTCTGGATTTTACTAAAACTAGACCTAAAATCTTTGCCGGATGATGGTTTGAAATCATAAAATTCATATGGCTGAGATTTACTTATCGATCTTAAAAGGCTATTTTGATGATCCAAATCTTTGTTTTGTATATCTCTTTATCTAAATTTTGGTGCTTTACTTGAATGGCCAAGATAAGTTGAAAGTTTCATATATTGCTTGAATGGTTAAGATTAATTCTCCAATTTGTAGAGATTATATTTTGGGTTGATTTGGTACATTGTTCGGACAGCTCAAATTAGTTGAACTTTCGGTACATCACTTGGATGGCTAAGATTAATTCATTGATCTTGGGTGATCACTTTGGTGGCCTAGATTTAGTACATTTTTTTTTTTTGTAGTCTAGATTAGCTGAACCTCAATACATCAGTTGAATGGTTCAAGTTAATGCAGTCATCTTAAGAATGGACCATTTTGATAACCTAGGTCTTTGTGTTAATTTGGTATATCATTTATTGCATCACTTTCATTCTTTTTTTTTGATAAAAAAACTTGGTGTGCTACATAAGCCGAGGGGTAGCACTCCCCCAGAAGACACTTAAACAAATGCAAACTAAACCAGGAGGAATGTTGTTCAGACCAAAATCAATCCACCCATTAGTCATTGAGAGCTCATAGTTTGCTAACCAATCTGCAGCTGATTAGCCTCCCTGTAAACATACTTGTAGTAAATATTCTCATTTAATCACTTCTTTAGCTCTAAGCAATCACTTCTTTAGCTCTAAGCATTCCTGGATGATGTTCCTTAAGCGCTATGGAGGATTGGAGAGGCGTTTCAAACACGAGATAACTAGCTTAGAATCGCCCTCGATGATGACGGGGTTGTTGGAGAGGAGCTTCACTTTCATTCTTGAAGCCCTTATAAATCACTTAGATTTTTAAGATTAATTTACTGGTGTTGAGGTATGAATTCAGTGGTCTAGATCTTTAATTAGAAATTCATGAATGGAAATCTCTTTTAATAATGTCTAACAATGCATATGACGTGTACATGGGTATAATACTATCAATTTTATATCTTGCTGTACTGCTTACTTTATGCTCAATTTATCTGCAGTTTATAGTTAGCTTTTTAATTAATTAAGCTCAAACCTTAGTTAATTAATGGTTATTGTTTTCTCTCATGCAGGTTATAGTCTGGATTCACAAACTCATGCACTGATTTGTCAGTTGAAGCCAAGATTAGGTGCAATGAGTGGGTATTGTTAGTCAAGTTGATCACCTTCCACACTTTGAGTGCTTTCCATATATTGTTGTCTCCATCATCAGAGTATTCGCTCTTTTCCCATTCATATAGAGAGATGTCAGATGTGTGGGCTAGCTGCACCTTTAGCAGTTGGCAAGGGAGAGTCTCAATCTGTCTGGCCAAGTAGTACACTAGAAGTATTCCTGGTGCAACAATGGGATTCATTATGATTCTTCAGTCGAGCTCCCTTCTCCTGGTTGCCATGTTGGGCGCAAAAACTTAGCATCGTTGGTCAATAGAGACTGTAGTATTGCAGTTTGCAAAGTCAATGATCACATCAGCAATCTCGGATGGTGATAGCAGTATTTTTATTTCTGTGTTATATATCGATCTCAATAATGGAGATACATGGATGGTGGTAGTGTAGAGGACGGACGACTCAGATTCCACGATTGAGATGTGGAAAATCCGTGTTAATTTCAACGTGAAGGTATGCCTAGGTCTCACTGTTCATGGTAATGGCTTTCTTTTACCCTGATATGTCATCATCAAATGGGTAGGAATATTAGTGGATCGGGTTAAGTGGTAAGCCTGCATTGACCCGACCCGGCTTCAGAGCAGTCTTTAATAGGGTTTTGGATTTGGATTGAGCCTGCTCTACACCTAATCTGACCCACTAACATAATGTGAGTTTGGTTTTTAGAATCAGAATAATCTATTCCCATAATCTGTTTGGTTCAAGACAGGAATCGGAATTAAAATTGGAATAAATTGAAATAGAATTTTATTCCAAAGAGAGGGAGAGGGAATGACCATTCCCGACCTGATCAAATGGTAGAATGCCATTCCATTCCAACAAGACTGAGAATAGAATTCTGATTCCATCCAACCAAATAGTTGGAAATGAAATAATAATTGGAATTGAAATGACCGATCCCAGATCCCCCTATTCCCGTGAATCAAATGGGCACTTGATAGTGGTACTGTTCATAGGTTGGGGTGGGTTGGATTTGGATTCCTATCCAATTAGTTGGATTGGGTTGAGTCGAATCCAGGGTGGACCAGACCATGCCAAAACCGACCCAATACCATCCCTCAAAATGGAGATGAAATGGGCATTTCAGTATAAATAAATAGGGCTTTACTAAAAAAAAAAATAGAGAGTAATAACTATTAGAAAAGAAAGAGTAGATCCTAAAAATTTCAATTCTCTTGCTTAAAAATGGTTCAAACGCATTTTCTATACATACACATTATGAGATTATGAGATAAATTAATTGCTTTTTGGCTTATCAAAAGAAAAAAAAATTATATATACTTGTTTCTCTTTGACCAGTGGTTTTGTGTACGTCAGTCTCCCAACCTATAATGAATGGTGACGGGCCAAGCTCCAAGGATTTCAGGAACCAACAGTGGAGAGTTTGTTTGTTTATGTGGCATCTGAGTCGTCTCATCTCCCTATGATCCATCCATTAGTCTTATACTCTTATTACCGTCCGAGGTTGCTGATGCGATCATTGCCTTTCAATTTACAATACTACAGAATCCTTGTTGATCAACGATGCAAAGTAAGCCCCCAGAGGGAGGGAACTCGGCAGCAACATCCAAATGAATCCAATATACTGTTGCACTGGAAACAATAATAATAGAGCAGACGGCATTGTACGAGTGCAAAAGCAAATGCAAAGAGAAAGACACGTCTATCTACAGTCTATATATGAATGAGAAAAGAGCAGAAGTTGTGGTTGGAATATGGTTGTAATAAGCTGTGGGAGGCGATCAACATGAACAATAATACTCAACCATTGCACCTACTATTAGCTTCTTTCTATGATGCAGTCGCGTGGAACAGGATGGACTATGGCATTTGCCATTTAGGCTGCATTTGGTTGCAATGCAAATTTATTTTCACTGATGCAAAATTATGGTAGTTTAAATGGTTTGGGTTCAAATTTTAATTTATTTTTGTTCCAAATTTTACTATATTTTGTTTGATTTCAGTAAAAATGAAGTAAAATAGGACTTGAAGCAAAATAAAATAAAACCCAGAACAAAATGAAATCAGAATTTACATTCTTTTCATTTGCACTTACATGCATTTGTATTAGTGCAAATAAAATTGCATTGCAACAAAACTCAGTCTTAAGTAACAAGTTTATTGGCATTTGACATTCCTTAATTTCAAGGACTTATCCCTTTTGGCAGTTCAAAGTCCAAAGTTCATAATGGCAAGTGCAGCCTTAGCCTCTTACAATTACACTGTGGGTGGGCAAAATTCTTACAATCTATTAAATTTCTATCTTGACTTTTGGATTAAAACCACTGAAAGGCGTAAAGAACAGTAGTAGGGGTGGAATTTGAGTGGGCCCAATTCGAACCCATAGCCAGCTCTAAATTTAAGATAGATTGGGCTTCGACTTTCAATCCTCAGGATGGTGTGGGCCTAAAGCCTTTTAATTTTTTTACTTTTTTGGCTGAGCCTAGGCATAGCCCTTAGTAGCTCAAAGCCTCCTCAAACCCAACCCAAACTCGACCAATGCATACAAAATAACATTATTCTTTTTTGATAGTTGAAATTACTTATGCTAAATAAATTAAGAACAATGTTTTTAAGCATTGGACCTATTAGGCCTACTGAGCCCACCTTGATGAACCCAAAACCAATCCAGACTTGAGATCAAGCTAAATGTGTCCAGTTTGAGGGGCTGGATCTGAGCTATGCAGATCGGATTCAACCCAAAAATCTTTCAATTTTTGTTTTTTAAAGCAGTAGGTCCACACAAGTCAACCCTTGAGATCAGCCACAAATATAATACGCATGTCTTATTGTCTTGTATTGCAGTACATTAGTTGAGCCATGTTTTCTTGTACTTTTGTGGTATACTTTATTTCATCCCTATCAAACCCACGTCACCTTGTCACTAATCCTTCTGTTTAATAAGGAATTGTCCCTAATCAATATCTAACATGTAATTCGTCTTTCCTAGTTCCTACTCTCTTTCTTCTTTTCTCACACGGATGTGAGGTCAGGTTAGATCAGTCAATTCTAACCCAATCCAATCACTTATTGACTTATTTTTAGTAAAATCTTCTTAATATTAAGGGGTTAAAGTTAACTCACCTTAACAATGTTACAGCAAAAGGGCATAGTTTGATGCTTTTTAGGAGTTTTATATTTGAAAATGTTTGCCTACAAAACTTAAATTTGTGTGAATCATTAGATGCATACATTCACGGGTATATATATACATATTTATATGATATTTATACATATAAATAGAAAGATAGAAAAAGTTTAGGGCCTTTGGGTTGTTCAAATCTTCAACCATCAGGGGTGGAACCGGGAATTTTCTTTGGGGGGGGCCAAAACCTAACATGGATCAAGGAGGGGAGAATATACATGGATGGGGGAATAATATAAGGCCCTGTTCGCTTTTCGGCAAGTTATTTATCTGAGTAAACACAATTACTTGGGTAAGTTTTTCCTAGGAAACATTTAGCCAGGTAAGTGCATTGTTCTTTTATTTTCCAAGTAAATAAGGCAATGACCATTTTAACCATATAGTTCATTATTAAAAGGGGCGTTTTTGTCCCATTCAAGTATTGGCAACTTCCCCCAGGTGGGAAAGTTATTTACCCACCTAGAAGATGGGTATCACTTATCCAGATAAATAATATCCAAGAAAATAAACTTTCCCTAGTCCTCATATTAATCTGAAAAAAAAAACATGAGATTCTTGGTCAATGGGAACCAACTTTTCCCCTCTCAAAATTCAAAAATAGAACACCCCCTAATTGGGGGGTTTTGGGTAATATGGAAGACCATGAATTCCCTAATCCCCTTGGCTCCGCACTGTTAACAATAACCTAGATTTGAAGTCAAGCCGGGTTGAGCCTGCCTGTTCGTGATCAGTTCTCATTCACGTCCAATTAGTGATCAATTCAATTCCTTGTATCCTTTTGAAAGTTCAAACCACCAGAACATCTGGTTAGAGACCATATTTTATTTCCAAACAAGGCTATAAATGGTTTACACCCAGAACAATTTATACATCAACATGTCTTATTTCAGCCCGAGATTTCAAAACCAGATTTTGAAATGATACACAAAACAGAAATAGAAATGCACATGAAATCAACTCTAGCTCAACACATACTGGAGCAATGTCCAGTTATTCATTTTAATTTTGCACCTGTATTTTCTTCATGGAACCAGCTTCMATGGTCGGATCATAGCATTGTCTTCATGGTCCAGAATCTGCATAAACAAAAAACAAAACAAATTTAGTCAATCTTTGTGGGCTTGCTTGCTACCCAGTAAAGCCCAACCCAAGTGCTGAAACTGGGTGATGCAGAGTGTTAGTCTGTTAGAGGCTCACATGACAATGGTAATAATATCCGGGTTCAGCAGTAGCATCAAACGGATATGGGGCACCAGTCTCAACCAGATTAAATTTGGCGATCACATAAGTCACGTATCCAGGCTCCAGCTTCAGTGCGGATTTCCATGTCTGCTCTTCAGGGGGTGTGAAGATAACTGTATCTGTTAAATTGCCTTTCAGATCGCACTTGTTTGGATCACCCAAAGCCTTCATACACTCCGTGAACGCCGAGGAGTTCGCCAACGCCGTCGAATTGATCATCTGGATTGAAGCCAAGTGCAGATGCAGTGGGTGATTATCAGGAGTCAAGTTGATCACCTGCCACAGCTCGGTGCTACCCGTTTTGGGGGTCTCTGTTACCGGATCATCCGGGCTTAACCCGTTTATGTAGAGATGGGTGGGTTTCGTTGTATCACTATTGTTCTTGTAGTACTCGTACAGTGCGATTGTTCTTGTTGTTACATTCACAGGTAGTGTTGCCGGCACATAATTCACTAAGGTTGTGGGGATCGTCGATGTATCGGGTCGGACTGGACTTCCCGCTGAAACGTTGAACTTCATTACGAATCCAAGACCCCCGGATATGAGTGTACCGGTCGGGTACGGGTATGGTGCGTCGTTAGTCATAACCGATTCGGTGCCAATACAATGTGTGAAATCGATGATCACATCAGCAATCTCGGATACGGATAGAAATACGGTGCTGGTTTCAACGGGTGCGGAGAGGTAGGATGAATCGGATCCGACATGGACAAAGGTAAGATTGTTGGTCAATGAGAGCCTGAAATAACGTGCGTTTGCAGCGTTGACGATCCTGAAACGGTATTTCCGCCTCTGGACGTTGAGATAAGGCCAGGCCTTGCCGTTGACGATAATGGCGTCCCCGAAATATTCCGGGTTCCACTGTGGGTGAATATCCGGGTTATTACCAACCGGATCCATATAAATGGATCCGTTTGAATAGAAGCTCTTATCAAAGAGGAACAAGAGGCGGTCAAACTCCCGTCCAGATGGGAGGTTCAGAGTTGCTTCTAGCGTAGGGTTGCGGATGACGTAACCACCGATCAGGCCCGCTAGGAGGTTGAGACGTGTCAAACCGACGGCATGATCGTGGTACCAGAGGTTTCCTGCGTGCTGGACGTTGGGGTAGGTGTAGGTTGGTTTTGTCCAGGTCTTTCCGGTGAGGTTGAAATCGTTGGTGAACCAGGCAAAGGCATGGCCGTCGCTTAGTGGATCCTGGACCCCACCGTGTAGATGGACCACAGCAGGAACCCCACTGGAGAAATTGGCTACAGGAATGGTTCGATCCCATGGGAGTATGTGGCTTTGAGGGAGGTGATTTGTCCACGTCACGTATGTTGGTATTCCTTGGAGTGCCTCAATTGTGGGACCCGGCACTGTTGCTGTCTCTCGGCATGTCCCGTACGCGAACACCGTCGATGCAAGTAAATCGCGGTGGAATTTCTGTGCGAGTAAGTATGGGAAAATGAAACATGAGCTTGTACAAAAGGAATCAGCCGAACAGACCGGATATCTAAAAAACCAGATCACTTAAAAGGAACCGGACCATCTATATATTTAGCAGGTRTTTGGCATCGATGCTAGGAACATGAAAACAGTGCTGGGTATGTCTGCGTTGTATTTGTTTGGAAGCGGAGCTGTCACATAAACTGTTTTCTGGGAAAACTGTATTGGTTTTGTTTGGTACCAATGCTGTAGAACCGTTCTCAGCAGTGGTCATATTATCCAACATCCAAGATAATGCCACATTGATGCAATATTATTGCACCGCTGACAGTAATGGGCTGTTTTCTGAAAAAACATCGAATTTGGTGTTTCTTCATACTACACTTTCCGGATTTTTAAAGTGTGGTATGAAGTAAATTTTTTTTTTTTTTGAAAAAATGATACCAAATAACGGGCCATTTTCTGAAGCACCACTTTTTCTAATGTGGCGTTATTTTCTCAAAAAACGACATCGAAGCCGAACACCACCTTAATTGTTGTTTTGATTAAAAAAGTGTTATTTTGTGTCAGGTAGAYTACCTATTCACGGGCTGGGTTCAGGATCGACTTTGCCTCTATATTAATAGAACATGTTTCAGGCCTGACCCTAGCCCTCGTATAAAGCCTAAAGTCTAGTCTGGAAATTGGGCAAGAAGTTCTTTTTACTTAATAGCAAAACTGATTTATTTATATTAAACAATTTCAAAATTCAAAAATATTGAAATGGATTATGGAGTGAGAAAAGAGCAGAGGAACATGAGCCTAAAATGATTTCAAAACCACCACAGTATTTTATTTATAAAATGTTATCAAGTCGGGATTTTTTTTTGAAAAAGAATGGGCTGAACTTGGCTAGCCTATCAGGCTACCCGACCCATAAATAAGTCTAGTGTAGGGCTATAAAATGAGTTGGTTCTACCCCAACCGAACCAGTATATTGGTTCTGGTTATGTGATTTTGTTCCAGTTTTTTGTTCTTATTTGTTTTAAACCAATTATCGAGTTAACAATATATAAAGGTTTCCCATCTTTTTAGTAATTTTTGTTATATTCTATGTCTAAAGAGGTAAACTTGATAATCAATATAGAATATAATTTTGATTGAAAACACTTGATTTATTAACATATAGATAATTTCTTATTTTTTTGTCATTTTTATTAGGATTATATTATAAAAATGAAGCTTTATGTTGTTATTAACATAGATAGATGCCAATATAATATAGCCTAATTAGGTTAGACTTGATTATCCCGATGAATAATTGGGACTGGTTAGTGATGCAAGTTTTCTTTACTAAATCAGCCATACTTACTGAATTACTAGGGTTGCAAATAAGTCAAATTAAATCTGATTTAAATCCAAATTCAATCTAGTAAGAACTAAACCTGGATCTCCCTTGACCCTAACAAATCAGATCAAGTTGGAAAAGTCAATCCCTTTAGTTAACGGATTGAATTCAAATGTACCCAATTCAATCCGCCATGACCCAATCTGATCTATTAATTATTAATTATGAATTTATGAAGTATTATATCACCAAGTTTTTTGATTACAATTCAAATTGAATCGGATTTGAATTAGTAATCCGATAAGATATTTGAATTCAAATCATAATCTTTAAAATCGGACAAAGTCTTATCAGATTTGGATCAGTTGAATTTTTTATCTGATTAGATCGGATATACCCCTTTACTGAACCCTATCCGATTTATTTGCAACCCTACAAATTACTGATATAGTTCAAATTAACATTACAAAGAGTGATTAAAAATCATTTTGATGAAGATAAAAAAAAAAGTGATTAGAAAGAAATTTGATGCTGGAAAAGTAATAAATATTGAAAATAAAATAAGGTTGTATTTGGATAAAGTTCAAAGCTTAAAAACACAAAGCCAATTAGGTTTGGTGTTTTGAGGCTTAAAGATGCGCGAACTTCAAATTGTTAGGTTTTTAAAAGAGATCCTGAAGATAATTTTTCGTTCAATTTTATTTTTCACAATCCAAAGCTCAAAAGTAACAAAAACTTATCCAAACAGAACCCTAAATTGGTTTAAAGAAAAATATTTTAATTTGAAATTTTCATACCCATTGTTTGTCATACATTCCGATGGTGAGATGGCGGGGCTTAAATTCGCCATATCCCATGGAATAACCGAGGAGCTTGGGCATTCGGGGGAGTTCATCGGCAAACAACTCTAGATCCGCAGCTACTCGGCTCGGAACCACTTGTGATATCTGTGCGTGAGCCTTGAAAGATATCACAAAAATTAAGCATACAACAAAAAACAACGTACCCTCCTTCATCCTTCTACCTTGATCTGTCTGTGTAATGGCACAAGATAAAATGATTAGTCGTCTAGTATCAATTAATAAATACAGCTTAATTAATTTTAATTTCAAGTTAGGTTGCACGATTTGAAGAACTTCAACCATACGAAGCTTGAATTAAGCTTTAGGCTCTGTTTGGTTTGAAGGAAAAAGTAGGAAAAAGGTAGTGAAAGTGACTTGGCAATTGGGTTGGGTGGGTCGGGTCCGGGTTGGGTCAAAAGACTTCGGGTTGATTTTGGGTTGGGTTGTCAAATGCTAGATCCTAATCCTAAATGTTTGGGTTAGGGTTGACCCATGGGTCAATTCGGGTCATCTCAAAAAAAAAACAACTGAAATTTAAAAAAAATAAAGAAAAATTACATGAAAAATGCCAAAATTAAAGAATTTAACCTTAAAATAAAAAAAAACATGAACGTTTAATAATTTAAAGAGTAAACAATAAAGAGTAAATAGTAAATAGAAAATATTAAAGAGTGGAAACTTCTAACAATGCATAAAGAGTCTCAGTTAGACTTGACAATCGGGTCAGCGGATTGACTCATGGCCCAACCCAATTTTTTCCGGGTTAGATCGGGTCGGGTCATTCTCACATTCAAGTAGCTAATATATGAGACCCTAACCTTATTTTTTCATGTTGGGTCGGATCGGATTCATGGATTGGGTCAACTTTTTGTCAAGTCTAAGTGAAACCTATACAAAATTTATATAAATTTCTCTACCTTTCTCTACTTTTTCCCTCAAACCAAACATAACCTTAATTTACTGAAAATTTGACAAATTCTCAACCCAACTTGACCCAAAATTGTAGAGTCCACAACTACTGTGACAAATTCCCAACAAGTCATTATGGTTGTCCATAGGGATCGAAAATATTCTTATGAATGACAAACTGCAATATCCTATTTGAGACAGTATTGGAAGCGTTTTATTGATAGCAGATCCCTATTAAATGGTGAGACCGAGACATCACATGCGGACAAAGAACATGGTGGAAGAATGTTTATTGGGAGGAGATCCCAATTCCCCCAACTCACTTTCACTACAAGAAACCGGCCGGCAGATGCCTAACTGCCAGCACAGAATGAAAGTTGGTGGTTCAGGAGTCAGGAATGCCGGAAAAACCCTATTTGGCCGTACTACTGAGCCCGAGCTGCCGAGCAAGTGGGCAATTAGCAATTTGAACGAGGGCCGGACACAATGAAAGTTGGTTCTTCTAGTCCATGAGGAGGAGTCTCCTCGTCTCCCCCCTAATTTTCATGGTTGAAACTCCTCGGAGGGAATTCACACAGCCTAGTTTCTTTCTTCTCAGTTGTCACAATTTTCTGTAACCAGAGTCTAGAAAATTAAGACAGTAAGTGAAAGACAATGAAAAGTGAAAGATTATCACTATCAAACATACCTCTGTAGTCAGTGGAAGGGGAAAGAAGATGAGGCGTGTGGTGAGCACAAGGCTAATTGCATCAAACCAGATATATTTATACTAGCTGTAAGCCTGTAAATATGCAATTGGCACCTGGTTTCTGAGTTCCCTTGGTTGAGAGTTGAGATCGAGACTTAAAGAGTTGAGGAATCTGACATAGCATGATCCAGTGCTGATCCTGAGGCTACTTGATTTGATGATAATATAATCTAGTTGAAATTTAATAATGAGTAAACAGCTGCACCCCCACATTGGATCCTCTGGGTTATCACTAGAACAAATGCTTGTTTTGCTTTGATTTTGTTATAATAAATGATAATTAAGAGATATTAATTTGGTCAAGACAAGGAATCAACATCAAGACAAGAAATTAAGACATGAGAGTTTTAATTTGTTTACATGCCTAGAGTTATTATTGTTTTATTTCTTGGGTTGAATTGGTCATTGATTATTGGATAGCAGCATTGATCGTACATTATTAGTTTTTTAATACAAAAGAAATTGAAAATTAGGTTCAGTTTTCAAAATCTTTCCTCTGAAAAAATATCAATTCTCAATTAATGGAGTTGACAACCAAGGGAGCTCTAGTCAGTTTTCCTTCTATTAACGAAGCATGTTCTCTCCATTTTCCTTAATTATGAGTGAAGTTTATTCAAGGAAGTCGTGTTCCTGTTGTGCTTAGCTGGACTAAATCTGCAATATTTGTTCTTCTAGCTATTTAGAGAGAGGGTTGAAGGTTGAATAATGATTAAGGACCCGTTTGAGAGGGCTTCAGCTTTGATTTAGTTGTTTTATCTAGGCCATTAAAGAAGCTATTAAAATTAGTTTTTTCTTTGTATGAATGAATGCTTTTTTGGATTTTCTGAGTTTTTTTTGACTAAACATAGCTTCTAGGCTTTCCATGTAATGCCCATCTTTCAAAGAAGACACTACGTAAAATCCCCCACATTACTTTGGAGGGTTGTCTTGCCTATATAGTTTAAGTTGTTTAATTAGGTTCCTCTAATTAATTATTCATTTAGGTGGCTTAAGGACCTGGAGACAGACATTTGCCCCTAATTACTTCAATTTCTCACTTCGTGTGCATGACTGATGTGGGGTGTTATTATTGGTTAAACAGCGCTGTATACATCTTGTCATCACTAATCCCATTATTCCACTAACCCGATCTAGAGTACAACACATTGTCCCTATCCGGAGCAAAGCTGTATCAAAAATGAAGAAAATAGTAAGTCAAATCGTGTAAAACAAAGAAAGAAAATATTTAGTTAATTCAGCAAGTCTTTGTCACTTCAATAACTCAAATGTGGACACAAAGAGAGAGAGATAGAGAGATCTAGTCTGGATTACCTTCAACAAAATGCTTTCCAACACCCTACCAGCAACATCTGACACCACCACGCATCTATACATGCATGGCAGGTCCCGGTTTTATAGCGAGATGTGCAGTGTCGATCAAATTAATAGGGTGTTGGAACTTGTTTTGTTTATAGGTTTTCCCAACTTCGAACGATCAATATATACAAATTCGTAGATTGTAAAACTTTGTATTTTGTATTATTTTATATGCAAAACTAAGTTAACTTTTCAGCGAAGCTATTTTTGAAAACTTCTCAGAAGCGACTCGAATCAAATCAGCCTAATGAATGCTGAAGCCCTTCCAAACGGGCTCAATAAGTCAAAGCGTGCAAAGGCAAGCTGTATTACGAGGAGTAGATGTAAGAAGTAAGAACAAAGAAAGAAAATATATGAAGTTAATTCAGCCAAGTATTATCAACTGAATAAATCAACGTGTTAAAAGAGAGGGAGATTGTTCACAAAGGAATGGGTATAGACTATAGACTATAGAGCCCTCTCCAGTCTCCAGTTGTCACTTCAATCTCTCGCTTCGCATGCATGGCTAACGTGGAATGTTATTATTGGTTAAACAACCCTTGACACAATCATCAAATGAAGCTCCAATTAATCAATCCGATGAGGAAGTATATGGATTCAAATCTCATATATATCGGTAGGCTCTTCACATTGTGCTAACTGCCACATGTTGTCGGTGTAGATGCAAGAAGAAAGAAAGAAATTAAATTATATTAAGTTGGTGCATCACTCCAGCCAAGTCTTTGTCAACTATTATATATTTATCTATTGTCGGCTCAAATCCATGTCAACTAGGCTGATTTTGAGGATTGAGATTGATACATCTTTTTTAAAGGGTAAAATACTTAATCCTCCCCTGATGTCGGTGGATCGGGTTATGTGATAAACCAGCACTGACCCGACCCTATCAAGTTATGGTCGGGTTCTTAGTTATCATTGAGGAGGTTAAACACTTGCAAGCCTATTAGCTATTAGCTTATGAGAAAGAGGGTAGAACAATTGAACAAATGTAAAGTTTGAGATTTGTGACTTTGTGAGGTTTGCAACTCAAGTAAGGCATCAATGTTTCTGTTGCTTTGGAGAGAGAGAGAGGGGGGGGGGGATTTTAAATTGGGTGAGTTGATTGAGATTTGATTATTACTTCAGTCACAAATTGTGATACAATCTTCAAGGAATTGATTATTGGTGTCCATAACTTCAGCCACAAATTATGGGTGTGTTTGTATGTTCTATGTTATTCATTATTCACTATTGGCTACAAATTTTTTATCATGTCTCCTGCCATGGACATTGGCTTGCTCAAGAGAACTTGGATTTATCCTCTGTCTCCTGCCATGGTCAATGGCTTGTTCGGGAGAACCTAGAAGAAAAAAATGGCACTCTAAGGTAGACCGTAGGAGTTTGAAAGAAAAGATGGATGTGTTCGGTGTGTCTTTTGGTCTGTGGGAAGTTACTAAAATATGGTCTTTTCTGTTTGATATCTTGAAGACCGAAAGACCCAAAAACAAGCATATGGAAAGATAAATTGGAAAGCTTCAAATGAATTTGGTCTTTGATAGTAGATCAAGATGATTAGTTATTTATCAAGCAATCTTGATCTTTAAAGACAAGACCCCAAAAATTCGGTGCATCTTCTGATCTACTAGTTGGGCTGTTGAAAGATCTATTTAGAAGGACATGCCAAACAGGATTGAACCCTATAAAACCAAAAGGTCATACTTGATTGAGTACCAATACTAAAGACAAGATCACAAGAAAGAGGGGCATTACACAACATCAAGGATTTAATAAGGAATCTTTTCCAATTAATTGAATTAACTAACTCTACCATATCAATAAGTATGAGAAAAAAATTGGTGATATTGAAGGAGCAGAGTTACCTAATTAAGCCCCGTTTGGCACATCTTTTTGTGTGGGTTATTGACTTTATTTTTTAGAAACCCGGTAACCTGTATTTTGGTCTTTTTTCATTTTATTGACAAAAGATCTAGTTGCCGAAAGCCACAACCTTGAAAAGACGCAAGAAACCTATTTTGGGCTATTTTCGGGAAGCTCTAAATGGAGCTTTTCGCCTTTTTTTTTTCAATTCATTTTCATGCAAAAAGACACGCCTTAACCAAACGGTCTTCAAGCTGTTAACATCCTGATGCAAAAGCTCATATCGTCTTTTGGCTACCAGAGCTTCTAGAAGATCTTTCAAAAAAGACTTACCAAACGACCCCTAATTGTGATCGGAAATAGACAAGTCTTTTGTGCCCACAATGATCATAACATTTGTATCTTGTTTCCTTTTAGGGGCCTTGGGTGTGTACCCAAAGGAAAACCATGATCATGCTAGTCAATTACAAAAGTATATGCCATATATATTGTAGTAAGAAATGCTTTTAGGGGGTTTTTGATAGTCTGATCTCTATAAGATGTGGTGTATTTGAATCTATTACACCTCACACTTACCCACAAAACACTATAGTTGTATATTGAGAACATCTCCCCATGAATTATAACATGTAAATAGCGGAGATCTTCTCAATGTATGGCTATAGTAATGTGTGGGTAGGAGATCTAAACACATGATTGAAACCATGGTTTTTAAAACCGAACCGGACCGGATAGTCAGACCAGAAAAACTGGGAACCGGTCAGGTGATTGGTTTTGTTTTTTCTCAAAATCAGATTTTTTGTCAAAAAAACGTTGAATTAATTAGCAAATTGCTGACCCGGACGTTCAAACCGTTCAATGGTTTTGATCAATTTTTAATATTTTTTATTTTTTGTCAAAACGGGCTAACCATTCGATTCAAATAGTCAAACCATTTGACCCGAAAACCTGACCCCTAACCGATTCGTTGTCTGAGTCGATTTTAAAAACCTTGGTTGAAACCACGTGGTTTGAACCACACCACATGATGTATTGTGATAAAATTTTAAATAAAATAATCGAATCATTTATCATTTTATATATAGTAATCATCCAAGGTGTGGAAGAGAAATTGCAATTAACTTAGTGTTATTGTTATTGTATAAGAAGCCTACTTTTTTACAAGTTTATGAATACTTAACAATTGCAACCAAACGAATCCCAAAAAAGACAATTGCAACCCACTTGCTAAAAAAGAAAGAAAGGGGCACAAGATGTAAGCCTGTAACACCCATCCAAAGCTTTATCAAGATCAAGTAGGCCATATATTTTTCTTTAGAATGATCAAACTTCAAACATATTGCTTGCTTACAAGATTAAATTACACTGACACCAACTTCATTGTACCTATATTTTTATTTTTAACTGACACCAACTTCAGGCTGTGTTGGAAAGGATGTAAATAAGTGTGAATGCAAATATAGAGTGTAAAATGGTTCATAAAAATTATAAAGCTGGACCCACTTCTTACCAAACATACTTTTTAGCTGTAATCGATGCAAACACGAATTCAAAGAAAGCATATGACTTTTTTTTTATCAAAAACCCACTTGAATTCAAATTTATTTCTTTTTTATTGATGTACTTTTACATCTTATTATCCGGGATTTACACCTCATTTGTATCATTTCCGAATGCAGCCTTAGTTAGCTCTTTTTTTTTGGACGAAAAGCCTAGACGTGTTTGAAGAAGTTGCCCTTTATGAGTGATGATGAACTCTTCCCTAAGAAGGCAACACAAGTTATTATACTCTTTATGGTAAAATTATCAGATTGGAATTTTAGTTGATCCTCAATGGCAGGGACCCTACTTGTAGATTGAAATAAACGATGAGAGAGATGGAAACATACAAGATATCTGTGAAAATTG